ACTGCTTCTGATGTACGTAAACATTTAACCATTACTGTTTGAATTTTTGGCTAGCTGTTCTTCAAACTCCTTTTTGGCTTTTCTTACTATATTTTTACACTTAAGTTGACGAAGTTTATGCTCCTTTCTATTTTCCTCACCAGAATTTGACTTCCACTTCTTTTAAAAGATGTCTTTATCTGTCACTGCTTCTTGTACTTGGCTGTTAAGCCACAGTGGCACTTTTTTGGTTCTCTTACTGTGTTTTTTAATTTGGGGTATACATTTAAGTCGGGCCTCTATTATGGTGTTTTTGAAAAGTTTCCATGCAGCTTGCAGAGATTTTACTTTTGTCACTGTATCTTTTAATTTTTGTTTAACTAACCATCTCATTTGTGTGCGTTCCCCTTTCTAAAATTAAATGCCACAATGTCGGGCTGCTGAAGTGTTTTGCCAATATTTGTATGTAGCATCTCAAAAGATGTTATCATGAAAATAGACAATTCCAAAATATCCATGAGTAGTAACAAGGGGCTACTGGTGTGGGTCCCAACGTCAGTTACTTGGAACACCAGGCAGTTATATGTCCACATTACTTCTGGCGAGGACTCTTGGAAACTGCCAACTGGTTTATTGTCACTAGTTAGCCATAGAAAACATTGACTGCTTTTTTTCCCTCCACAAGGGCTGAGTATGTTAGCACAGAGTCAGAAAACCAGCTCTTCTGAACTGCAAAATGTGCCAAAAAGTTAGCCCTTGAAGCTTCATTTGAACAACAGGGTATTTGACCAGGATCATGCATCTTCTTCATTTCTCTGCATTCTAGCCTTCCAAAAGCAAAAGTACTCGTGTGAACGAGACACAGAGTCACCACATTCTTTTCTCCATCTATATGAGGTTTAAAAAGATAAATGCCAAATGTTTCATATTAACACCCATGGCTAAGCTAACAAACTCCATCATGTTGGTAATGAAACGCTTTGTGCATAGTGCTTTGCAGAGGCATGAGGCAAGTAACAAGGCGCTAGAGCTTGCATGCGCGTTTTATATTGGCAATGATGAAAAGCCAAATGACCCAAACATTAAGCACTTGAGCCCCAGGCCCAAAATATTCCTTTCAATCAAGGCCATAACTTACCTCCCACACCAGAGAGCATTTGTTTGTCTTCTTAACAGACTCCTCGTCAGATTCATCATCATCTGGACAAAAGGGAAAAAAAGAACAAAAAAAAAGAAGCAGCAGATTTTAACCCCCCTCCCCCCCAAAAAACTGTAAGCAATGACAGGACTTGACCATGCTTTTATTCTCATTCCACTCAGAGCTCTTCCCCTCTAAATCCCAACTCTATTTCTACTCTTTAGACCAAGACTTTTGTATTTCCCTCATTTTGGGGGTGCTCACAAATGTTCGCTGATTTCCCTTCACTCTTCTCTAATTGTGTTTAGGGGGAATCCCCCATAGTTACCTGAAGTTATGTTGTACCTGATTTCATTAGATGTTTAAGCACCAAATCAAACACTGGAAAAGATCTAACTTACTTGCACAGAAGATTCAGCAGTGACTACATCCCTCTGTCACATTAATTTTTATTCCCATTTCAGGCTCTCTTACATGCCTAGAGCAGTGATACTAAGATCTCTGGTTCAGATGTCAAATTAGTGATCAATGTTACCTAAAAGAGCCACAGGAGCAACTGGCTACAGTGCTATACAGTCATAGTTAAATAGTCTGATGGGGAAATATTTAGCTTTTATATACAATTATTCCCCCACCAAATAAAATAACTTCGTGCATGTTGATAACTGGTTAATTAAACCATAGTTTTAATATTACGTGGTGCAAACAGCCGCAGGGGACGCATTAAAAAGACACTTGCAGCTCCTGAGCTTCCATCTGAGTATCACTGGTCTAGAGTAATCGTTTCAATCATGGACTGCTCTCGTACACCACACAACTCCAAAATATCTATTAGAGTAGTAAATGGGGGTCATCCAATCAGGATCAGCTCCCTGATTGGACTGAGCATGCAGAGAGCTGACCGTTTAAGAAAACTGCTGGCCAATGGCATTACAAAAGCCTCACATTTACAGAGAAGGGGCTGCCAGCACTGCCTGTGTACCAGTATTAGTCAGGCTTATGTGACTTGTGCTCTGGGCTCCCACTTCCTGTCTCATGGACACACACCTGTACTGAGTTCTAAAGTACCAGCGGTGTCCCTTCTGTGGGGCACACTGGTGTGACGTAGTGGGGGTACTTGCTGGGCTGTGGTGACCCCTGCTGTCTGGAGCAAGACCCAGCAGGGAAAACCTCACTAGGCCAAGCTAATGCCAAACTTGTTGAACCAGTGGCCAGACACCCCCCATGGAGAGGAACAAAGGAAGGTGGAAAGTTGGTTAGTTGGTTGGTGGCTGTCTGTGAGGATGGATGAGACAGCCTAGGGAGAGGAGCTGGAGTTTAGGGGCCCAGTCTCCCCCCAACTCAAGGGGGCCTGAGGCATCCTAGCCCAGCTCTGTGACCAGACTACATCTGTGCTGTGCTGTATCCTGGAGAGGCAATAAACTTCCTCAATTCTACTGGCTGGTGCAGTCTGTTTGTGCCATTTCGGGGTGCAGGAGACGGGGGACCCCAACGCGCTGTCACAACTGGGTAGTACAGTACTTCCCTGGGAGTATTCACCCCCATTCTGCCAGGACTGGGCTTCATTCAGAAATACACACACTTTTCCATATTGAAATGTGTAGGGTTTTTTAAAACCTTGTATCTTGCAAATGCAAAGCCAACTCAAGCTCTGCTGGGTGTTAGAACACACACAGCTGAATAGGAGAAGGGGCTGGCAGAGCAGAAGGCAGGCTGGTGTGAACAGTAGCAAGGCACACAAGCCAGTAATGTAGTTCTTGGCTTTTTATCATTTAAATCAGGGGGTGAGGAACCTTTTTGGAGTTGGGGGCTGCTGACCCACAGAAAAATCAGTTGGAGGCTGCACACCAATGAGAAGCGCAGAAAAACCCCCACACCCTCACTGATATGGCCCCCCACTGAGAAGGAGAAAGACCCTCCCCACATTCCCCTTATGCACCAGAGCCTGGAGGATGCCCCCAAGCCTTTGGTTTAAAGCAGGACTGGGGAATCTATCAGTCCCAATGGTGGTTACATAGATAATCAGGTCTATTATGGTCTGCAGAGGGATTTTCAGAGTAATGGCTTCTCATCCACGTTGCAACAAAATGATCCTGTTGCCATTTCTGTACAGTCTCACTAGCTATTATTCATACTATTTATATTTTTACACACACACACACACACACACACACACACACACAGAGTGTAAGAGACACAATGAAAAATCCCGTTTTATTAGTTAACTTGTTAAACATTAAGTTTAACCGGTTAACCAGTTAACTAGGGGGTAAGCAAAACAGCTGCCTGCCTGCCCCCCCCTCCCCCCCCGGACAGGCTGGAGCAGCTCCCACCAGCTAACCAGTAAGCCATCAGCATCTCTAATACAATACGGGTCTATGCTTACCATCTCCCTTTGTGTTTGATGTCTGTTCATCCCATTTTATTCGATGGAGCATAAGACGTTTAAATTTCTTCTGTGCTTTTGGACCTGGAGAGAGAGAGAGAGGATGACAGTCATTTTCACTCAGTTCTTGCTCATCAAGAGCTTCCATTTAGAAACTCTAATAGGGCTGCATTTTGCCTCCAAAAAGCAGCGACAGTTAGCAACATCTGTAACGATGGACGAAAAACGAAACCCTCAAACACCCATTCGGTTCCAGCTAAAAGCCATGGGCAAAGAGAATACTGCAGATCAATGACACAAGAGTACTTGCCAGAGGAGGCTGTGAAGGCTAGGACTATAACAGAGTTTAAAGAGAAGCTAGATAAATTCATGGAAGTTAGGTCCATAAAAGGCTATTAAGCCAGGGGATAGAAATGGTGTTCCTGACCTCTGTCTGTCAGAGGCTGGAGAAGGATGGCAGGATACAAATCACTTGATCATTTGTCCCCCTCTGGGTCACCCGGTGTTGGTCACTGTCGGCAGACAGGATACTAGGCTAGATGGACCTTTGGTCTGACCCAGTATGGCCATTCTTATGTACAGTCTCTAACCCAGACTGGAACTCGGTGTCAGAGCTTGGATTAGAAACCAGCACTCTTCCGTGGCCTTGGCAAATCACTTCAGTGTTGTGTGTCATCTCTTGCTTAAAATGGGACTAGATCTCACAAAACATGTCATGAGAATGTTTACGAAAGCCCCATATGCATGTTGGAAGCACTGTAGCAGACTCAACCAGGACAGTCCAAGTCTTTCCTGAGAAGATGCCACCGTTAAAATCTAGAAGATTTAACAACGCTGGGTTTCCTTTACCTACAAGCTACAGTTTAGAGGATTTAATACACTTAAATAGCTAACATGCTTGACTTCCAAAGGGCTACCACTGAGTAAGTCTAAGAAGCATCCTGAACATAGCAGTCTAACGTCTTCCTTAACTTCCATAAATCCTAGTAATTAGCAATTTGGGTGTCACGATTAGAAAAAAAATCAACTCCACAGCTTTGAACACCTAACATTCTAACCAGAAAGCCCACCACCATAAGCCTTACCTCCTTCTACCACCACCACGTTGACATCTTTGTGTAAAACCACCACTCCTGTTAAGTACAGCTGCCCAGCATTTGCTTCAATTTTGAATTTTTTTGCTGGGTTGCCTAGATTTCTGACTCTGAAGATAGAAACACAAAGATCGATTTATTTGAAAAAGGAGCCACAGAACTATGAACAATGGATAAGAGACAAAGAGGATTCCCCCCTCTCTCCTCTAAGTCAGTGCAGTGTTATGCTCATTTCAAGCTTTTTAGTATTGTGGGGGGGTTATAACTAAAACCTTACACTCAACAGGGTTTTTGTCAATCGGAGCAAAGACCATCGCCTACCTTTTTACAGCATCTAGCACAACAGGTTCACATCTTTAGTTGGACCAATGTACCTGGCATTGCTTCAGTCTGTAAGAAGTGGTTTCTTTTTTTTTTGGGGGGGGGGGGGAGTGAGGGAGCATATACATGATTCACTGAAATGACTTTCAAAAAGTGTTATTTTTATGAAGTTAGTTTTTATTTTGGATTTCTTAAAGGGATTGTTAACATTTTCCCATTTAACCTTTTAGTAAATTTTTTAAAATGGGAATTCCAGCAACCGTATTTAATATCTTCATCCCTATACATTCTTACTATTCGTTATCTCCTTTCTGAAAGGTTTATTGACACGCCATTCTACTGCGGGTTCGGCCTATTTTTCTGGCTCTTCTTGGTTCAGTCTCTTTCAACATTCACTCAGTGATGTCAATTTTGAAGACTGTGCTTGATTTTGGTGATTGTCTCTTTTCTGTTTGGTTTTATGAAAAGAAATCCTATTCCAGGCACATCCTGTTTTCCTGGCACAACCAAAGCCTTAAGCTGCTTTAAGTTATGATCCGAGGAACCTGCTGTCACGGCGTGTGGGGGAGTCTCTGGGCCCTGCACCTCCATCCGCAGCCAGATGCGACTCTCAGCCAGCAAGTGGAACAGAAGGTTTATTGGTTCACAGGGATACAGCGTAGCATAGGACTGATGTTAACACAGGGACCAAGAGCAGCCAGTATTATTCCTCTTGGGGAGAAGGGGTCCTGGGCCCTTCTCCCATCCTAACCCAGCCAAAACTGACTCATCCCCCAGGCCCTAGTCCCCAGCCTGGTGTCAGCCCCACCTTTCCCTTTGTCTCACTTCCTGGGCAGGAGTTATCTCCTATGTCTGGCCCTGAGGTGTCAGAGGTCAAATACGCTTCTGTAGCGAGTCCTCCCCCAGACAGTGTTGCAGTTGTCACATCTCAGCAATACCATCCCCACTACATCACACCAGCATACCAAATTTTACGGTCCTAGCTCTTCCCATTTAAGAGGAAAGTTTCAGAAGGGTAGCTGAGTTAGTCTGTAACAGGAAAAACTTCAACAAATAATCTAGTACAGTGTTTCCCAATTTTATTTGGCCACGGAATACTTTTAAACTTGAGAATTTTGCGGAACCCTTAACAGCAGTCATATATGGAACTGGAAAAGTAGACCACAAATAAGTAAGGAGAATAATAAACTTTGTCCGACATGGCACTAGTACCGTAATTTAGCGAATATAACCCGGTTATATTCATTTTTACAACTGAATAGTGACGTCATCATCCCCACTCTTTGGCTAAGTTGGCATTACACTGGGACACTTATTGCAGCAAACACAAATTACAATCGTTTTCAATAAAATTCATGAATGCTTACATATTATTTAAATAATAAAATGTTATTGTAATGGAATTTTCTCACAGAACCCTTATTTTCACCATTTGGGAAACACTGGTCTAGTAGCACCTTAAAGACTAACACACTTCAGAAGCGGGTTGTGCCCACGAAAGCTCATGATTCCAGCTACGTGTGTTAGTCTTTACGGTGCTGCTAGACTATTAGTTGTTTAAGTTTTTCCATTAAGGAGGAGTTCTTGATCAAACAGAGACACTTCTAAAATATATAGTAAATAGCAGCTTTCCTTTGACTTTTCAGTGGTGTTTTATCAGGCATCAGGTCTACTGGATCCCATTGTCAGCTTTGCTTGTGACACTGAACATTCAATCTCCCTGCGTCTCAGGCTCACCATCATAAGGATTAAACTCAAAACGCTTTGTGTGATCAGATGGAAAGTGCTAAGTATTATGAGGCTTTCTATAGTCACCTTGAATGCTCAGGTAGGATATGGAGAATGGAGTTATCTTTTCATTCATTTAATTTTGAGAAAATGGATGGGTCTGTTTTTCTTTAAATAACTTGAGCAGTCTTCAGTGTTTCTAGTGGAGTTCAGAGAGCTGGATGACAAGAGCCTGACATTAAAGGAACACTCCATATTAGCACGTGTAGAGACCAGCATGTCTCATTTGTATTTATGAAAAAGTCACAAACAGCTGTTGAGATGAAGCACCTCTTGGTATTGTGGGTGAAGGCACTTACCTGTACACAGCTATATGCACTCCCTGTGAAATATCTTCTTTCAGTTTTTTAACCTTCTTTGCTTTTCTCTGTTCTGCTGTTAGTTTTCGTGCAGCATTTGCCTCTTCATGAGCTCTGGGTAGGAGGAAAGACAACAGGTAAGCAGAAATGCAGCTTGTTGGATGTCTGTTCAGAGAACCGGAAGGAGTGAGCAAGCCTTGGAGGGTGCCTTGTAGACCCAGAGCTCTGTCAATGAACCGAGTCTATCCAGACCAGTCTGGCTTAGAAGTATGAGTGGACCCAATCCACTACATCACAAGAGACTATCCAGAGGGGAACTGGACCAAGTTGTAACAAGTATTAAAATTGGTACAGCAAGCTTCCTGCAACCTGGCCCTCTGATTTGCTTCCAATGCCTCTAGTTAGGAGGAATCAATCTATTTAGCTTCTGCAGAAAGTGAGCAAGTATCATCAGCTGTAAAGGTGGTTTGTGGTGTGAATTGGAGCCAAACCCACCAACTGATCCAAACCAACCGACTAATTGTAAATAGGTTACTACACCACTATCAGATGATACAAACTTTCAGTCAGTGCTGCATTGGATCGAGTGATGACACTTCACAAAGTCCTGAAACGTTACCACAATGTGAAAAAGCCAGACTTTTTCTGGTGACCTCTGGTTTGAGACGACCCACATGAACTTTGAATTCAGGAACTTCGCTGTCGATTACTTTCTTAAAGAGCCTACTCAGTTTACATTTACCACAGTTAAACCTTTGCTTTTCCCAGATGACTTCCCTTAAGGATGAACGTGGACACGCACCACCACACACTACTGCAGAAATGTTGCTAACTGGAGAAGTCAATTGCTTAGTATTACTCGAGGGTATTTTGTGTAAGCGACTCAGTGTGGTGAGCTCAGGAGGGCCATGCCCCGAAGTCATTACTACACAAGCAGTTGTTGGAGAGGTCTAAAGTGAGAGTCAGGAGCTCAGTCCAGTTCCTAGCAGGTAGCTACCTCAAAAGCCACCCCTGCAAGGGGGCCTCCCGCTGGCAATTTCAGGACAAGGGATCAAGAACACGTGGGTCACACTCAACTCCCTTCTAGTTCTGAGAAGGGAGCCTTTCAAAACAAATACGATGTGGGGACATCATAGGAGTAAAATGAGCCTTTTCTTCTCCCTTTGCTGCACCTGTTCTGTGCTTTGGTAGTGGACTTTAGTCTCTATGGTTGTCAGGACACCTCCATCCCTAAATCCACTGAAGTAAAGAAGCAAACTGTGCCCCACGCCACTTACTTCTGTCTCTTTGCCATCTGCGCTCTAACGTGAGCTTCCACTTTTGTGGGGTCCTGAACAGCTTCTGTCCCCAGTACTCGCATCAGGTTAGAAATTCTTACTGCAAGGAAGGACGAGAGGGGAACATTTTAAAGAGATCTATTAAGTACCAATTTGTCATAATGTGTCAAAAAGCAAAAAGGCATTTGTTATTTCCTATAAGTATAAGAGCGGGGAGGTGCAGCAGAACTTAAAAATGAAAATATCTTGATGTTTTGCTTTAGATTGTAAGAGTAAAAAACATTAGGGGAAAAGCCTGAAAGAAAGGTACAAGTTACATTTCTAGCTCATCTCCTCTGTAAGACTTGTTCCTACTTCAAAAGGTTCCCCGATTCTAGCTCATCTCCTCTGTAAGACTTGTCCCCGACATTATTTTAAAACAGCGTTCAGCAGCATTTCTTGCCAGGCTCAAAATGCTCTTCAGAATTACTAGCTACAGAGACATCATTGCCTCAAATGCAGGTCTCTCCAGATGCAGCATGGCAATTGACCCACAGGACACAGCAACAATACGTGACATTTGGTAGAACAAGTGAATGCCCAGCTGGGAGGAACCATGTAGCATGTATGTTCACTGTACCACATCCTGCCTCTGTGCAACCTTCATGAAGTCACTGTGGTTAGATGGGGTGTAAGTCACCCCAGAATGCTGCCCTACACACATGGGGCTGGAAGCAGGAATTACTGAGTGAAATTCTATGGCCTGCAGGATGCATGTCACACCAGATATAACAGCCCCTTCTAATTAATTCTATGAATATACATACAGGGATAGAAATTCCTGAAGAGACTAGCGCTATAGGGTCTCTCACACAAAGGACTTTTGTCAGCTGCAATTTACCAAGTGTTTTATTATCAAGCCAGTGAGCCACTATTTGGAAACAGCAAGAGTTTTCCACATAGCCTCTTCTCGGCAAGGTACCACCCACCTTTTGGTTCTGGAGGCGGCATTAGGCCCAGTCGGACTTTCTCTTGCAGTTCCTTCTGTGCTTCTCTCCGAGTCTGACGCCGTAACTTCTTCTGCTCTTTTTTAGTTAAGTAAACGCCCAGAGTCACTGGTGTGTCACTGTCCACTAGGAAGGCAAACCAATGAACAGTCACTTCAGATGTGCCAGTTTCACAAGGGCAGGACTATCATCTACAGTCATAACTGGGAAATGGGAAGGGAAACAGCTGAAGAGCAGGACTTATAACCAATTCCTCATGCTTAAGGCTAAGGCAGCCCAACACCACCATTCGTGTCCCCCGCTCAGAGCATACAGAACCACCTCTGTTTGAGCCTCTCAGTTATCCCCTATTAGACCCACAGTTTCTCTCTGTTACATGTGTGATCCTGGTGTTACTCCAGATTGTTTACATCAATGCTGAATCTGAACACAGAGGTTACAATGCTATTTATGTTAAACAGATCATCCACTGTCTAAACTTTTCTTTACTATCTCATCTAAAAGGTACAAGAAGGAGGGAGAAGAATTATTCTCCTCAACTTCTGAGGACAGGACAAGAAGCCATGGGCTTAAATTGCAGCAAGGGAGGTATAGGTTGGACATTAAGAAAAACTTCCTATCAGGATGGTTAAGCACTGGAATAAATTGCCTAGGGAGGTTGTGGAATCTCCATCACTAGAGATATTTAAGAGCAGGTTAGACAAACTTCTATTAGGGATGGTCTAGATGAGTGTTTCTCAACCTTTTTTCGCTCATGGCCCCCTTCTGAGCCTCATTAACCTCTGTGGCCCCCCCTCATAGCCGCTGTTAGTTGGAAAAAAAAAGGTACATAATTTACCTAATGTTCCGTTTTTTCCATGTGGCCCCCTAGAGGTAGGGCGTGGCCCCTGAAGAGCCATATGGCCCATGGTTGAGAACCACTGGTCTAGATAATGCTTGGTCCTGTCATTAGTGCAGGGGACTGGACTTGAGGACCTCTCGAGGTCCCTTCCAGTTGTAGTGTTCTATGATTCTATGTCCCTGGTCTCAGTCTGCATTACCATGTGGATCTTATGAGGCATCAGGGGTATGTCTACACCACAACTCAACACCTGCAGCCGGTCCATGTCAGCTGACTTAGGCTTATTGACTGTTTGTGACAGACACCAGAGCTTGAACATCTATACAGCAATTAGACAGCCCTGCAGCCCAAGCCCGACTCAGCTAACACGTTTAGTTGACATATGCCTAAGTAGCAGTAGCCGCTTATTCTAAAGCGTGGGAGTCTATCAATTTCCAATATCGAGTTGGTCACTAGACTTTTAAATGCGATTTTCTCCATTCTTTTTGCAGATTCACCTTTAAGTCCTAGGTGTCTCATCGCCCTAGCAGAGACCTATATTCTACCTTAAAATGACTTCTTTCATAGTGATAAATGAAGCCAGTTGTACTATAAATGAGGAGGGACTCAGTCTAGTTCAGGTCTCATGTTGCCAGCAGTTTGATGCACTGGAAGGGTCTTGCTACAACCCTCTTGTGAACCTTTAACTGATCAAGACTACAAAGGAGGCCTTGAGCTAGACTGCGACATAATAGTACCTGGTGGGTTTAGCTGTGCTGGGTGTTCCACAAGATTTGTGATCCCAAAGTAGTCATCTCGTTTAGAGGAGATTCCAGAAGTTCTAAAGAGGAGAGAGTGTGTGCATCAGTAATAAATCATCTAAGGGACAGCTCCTCCCAACTCCTTCAATGTTCCACAAGCTACAGTGTTCGGTGAACAAAGCAACTTGAAACCCACCCCCGCACCCCACCCCACCCCACCCCCACAGTGCTATTAAACATATGTAAGCTGCTGACAGTTACTCTTAAAGTTTAAGGAAAGCAGGGAGCTGCATGGCTCCTACACAAAGCATCAATGGGCAGGTGTACTTCCCACTGCCCCAAACAGTCTCAATATTGATCTTGCATTTAGACAGAGGCAGAACTTTTAAAAATGCTTCATTGACAGAATCAACGGGGCTTGTGCTCCAAAGTCATTTTGCTGCTTTTGAAAATACCACATTGGCTTTTAGCCAAAGTCACTAAAACTGCTCTCTTGACTACTGCACACAGGAATAAGCCACCTCTGGATTAGGATATGGCAGCTGTTTGGCACCACACCACACACTGGAGCAGGGAGCGAACACAATATACAGCTGAAGCTCTAGCAGGGAATTCCAGGGGCAGAATGCAATTACTCAAGCAGATGCACTTGTTTCTGTAAAAGCTACAGTAAAGACGTGGGCCTGATCTTCAGAAGTGCTGAGCACTTCAGCAACCTACAGCACCCAACAAATTTCCATGGACTGTAGGGTTGGTCAGCTACTCAAAAGCAAGGCTATTACTCTCTCTTCTACAATCACATGAACAATGCCCAGCAGGTAGAGCTTACGGATCAAAGCCATTCGGGATGATATACGAATCCCACCACTCTATCTCAGGGATCTCCCCTTCTTTCAGCTCCTTTTTGGGAGTGATAAGAGCTAATTTGGTAGAGGTGTGGATCCCGGTCTTTCTGGCAGCCTGGGAGATCTCAGCCTGCAGCTTTTCTAGTTGAGCCTGCGAACAAGAGGAGAGAAATGGCACAAGCAGGTCACTTACATGGACACCTGCAGAGCAGCCTTTAAAAGGCAAAGCATGCTGGATAAATCCTTTACAAGCCAATCAGAACACGCCACAGATGAAGCACAGAATGGGGCCTGGGACTAAGGAGCGGTTTTGTGGCTTGCATGGGGTTCCATCTACCCCTGCTTGGATTACTGCACAACCCAAACACACCGTTGTTCTAGATATTTCCTAGTGTATTGCCCAGCCCAGTTTTAAAATGTATTAAGGATCATACCACCCAGTTCTTACAAAGCACTTTGCATCAGTAGATCTCAAATCACTTCACTATTTCTTTAGGGAATCTCTTCCATGGTGTAAGATCATTATCACAAAGGGTTTCCCCAACACCCATCTTCTTCATTTCAGGAGTCATTATGCCTTCCAACTACACCAAATCGTTACTGGTACTGACACCCATGGTTTTTGCACATAGTTAACATTTAGGCAAGTTCTCTCACTGTAAATCTTCCAGCCCCTAAATCATGTTTCTACTGGAAGTAGCCAAAAAGTGTGTTTTTCATGGAAAAATTCAGCTTCACAAAAAAACAAACCCCTTAGTTCTTTGTGTTTTCAACAAAAAGCCAAAAGCATATGCAGAAAGACACATTCCACAAAGTTTAACTGAAACCCAATTTTCCACTGAAAAAGAGTTTTGATGGAAAATGTTCAACCATCCATAGCGGAAACCTTTCTTGTCCTGAGATACCCCAACTGAATGTAGCCTCCATCATTCTTGAACAGGACATAAAAGTTCCACCCTCTAAGCCAGCCCCTTTTAGTACTGTTCATTAACATCTGCATTCAGAAAGCTAGAGGGTACCTTTGTTCGTAACCTCTGTGCAATTTTTTCAAATTTGCCTTTTTCATGAAATTTAAAGGTGCGTTTCTGACGTTGGGATGAGGCTATGGAGACCCGGGGATCAAAGTAAGTGTTGGATTCCATATCTTCAGAAGGCTTTTCTTTGAGCTGCTGTTTAAACTGCTCCCTCTTCACAGCCCGGATGTTCGCTTTTAGGGTCGGCATACGGTGAGTCAACTCAATCTCTTTACCAGTTGCATCAACAGTTCGGCCTTGTTCATCCAGGATCAACGGGGTAGGCTTTGTCTGGTCCTTGAGCTCTACTTTCCTGGTGCAAGAAACATTGTTAAAATGCAGTCATGTAGCATTAACTCAAAGGGAATACAGAGAGAATTATTCCCCCCCCTCCCCTGCTGGTGGATAAGACTATGGCCTGCTCCTCGGTGGTTTCCTCTAAGCTTTTTTAGTTAGTAATCAAAAGGTAGATACCTATATTATAGTCCACAGAGCCTAGAACAACTGTCAGACTCCTGTAACTCTGTGCTGATGCTTCAGTCAGATACTTCCACATTTTGATCATTCACAGAACTAATAACTAAATGCTTCCCTCTTCTTGATACTTCAAGGAACAGGAGTAAATTTCAGAGACCATGAATGATACAGGTGTGCTCACACAGGCTATGTCTACACTGCAATGCTATTTCAGGATACTGGAGTATCCTGAAATAGCTATCCCACCTCTTCACAGCAAGCCCGTTATTTCGGGCTCACTAGTCCAACATCCCTGTAAACTTCATTCTACAAGGAGTAAGGGACACTTCCGAATAGTGCTTTATTTAAAATTCAGTGTGGAAATAAGCTATTTTGAAATAGCATCGAAATAAGATATGTAATTTGTGTAAGTCATATTGTGCATCTTATTTCATGTTATGGTGCAGTGTAGACGCACCCACAAGCGGTCTTATTCTCGTTTAAACCAAGGACTCCTTACATGTCTTTGGCAGTGCAAAGGGACCCTAAAGCAGATGTAAATGTTATACAATTAAAATGTTATGTTGCCAGAGTGGCATAAAGGAACCGCAATGTGACAATGTCAACTGTGAGGCATTGCTGGCCCTTCCCCTCAAGATCTCCGGCTGTTTCTTAGCTCCAATGATGGCTATAGTGATGCAAACACCAGTACACAGTATAGTTAAGCTGATGGAGCACGGTCTTGCATTCTAACCACTGTGCAATCTAGACTGAGTAGGTCTTGATCACTTGGTGGTTAGATGACTAGCAGCTTATCTACCCTAAACTTCCCACCGCTGAACCCATTTTGGCAGTGCAGAAAACCCTTAGCACAGACAAGGCCATAAGGATCTGGTGTACTTTGGACTACTCTTAGCTGGTCTTGAAATGGACTGAACATTTGAAGGGCAACTGCAAGTGTTACAGTGGAGGTGAACAGCAGCAGAGAGACAACGTTTGTCCTAATGTCATTCCCTGGTGCTTCCATCACTGACAGAGCCACCAATGATCCAGTTTATGAATCCAAGTCAATACACATGAATGTTGGTGGAAAAGCAATGATGAAGGCTGCCATTGTGCACTCTAACACGTGCCTTGTTCCTCTAGGAAGTTGCCAGGTCTACAGCGCATGGGTAAGTTGGTTGTACTCACGGAGGTGCAATTCCCATTGCATGCAGATTTGCCAACCCCACCATGTTGGCATTGCCAATGAGCCCTGGTTTCAAAGCCAGCTGAGCCTGGATTCGGGCCTGTAGCTCAGCCGCCTTCCTGGCTTTCTCAATCGCATCATTCATGAACGTGGCTGCCTGAGAGGGCTGAATGGTATTGCCGATGGGGAGACGCTCTGGCTGGGACGAAGAGGGAGTTTTGGGCTGCAGGAGAGACAAACGCCATTAGATACATGTCAGAACCATTATTCAAGTCACTGTGAGGAGAAAGGCAACGCATTCACTCTTAGGGTAAAGGACCCGGGCCTTTCTTTCCAGGCTGTACCTGGGGTGCAGGAGGACTGATGAAACTCAGTTGCTTTTTCCTCTCCTCAATCTGACGTGTTGCTGCTTCCATCATCTGTTTGATCTGCAGAAATAAAGTTGGACAGTTAGGTTTCTTCCTCCTCCAAGGGCTAATGCACTGGTCAGAAGCACGCTCCAGAGGCTCCTCACAGAGTGGGAAATGAGTGCAAACCCAGCTCCACTCAGCTACCAGCTGGGATGACCTCCAATTCAGCAGCAGCAACTCCAGGTAGCCAGGACTCACTGCCATGACCTGTTCCTTCAGCTCACTCACTCTATGGAAAAGGAACCTTGTTTGCTTGTTTCATTTGTGAAGAGCATCTCCCCTCTCTCTCGCTAACAGTTTTCTCGGGTGTTCTGCATGTTCCAAAAGAAAAGCAAAAGGACCCGATTTCCTGGCCTGCTCTTAATCAATTCAATCTGCTCACTGACACTGCAGACTGCCTTTTCCCAGTGGAAATCACTGTTTCAAGATTATATACACAGGAGAATCTCTCATTCTACAACACCTCTTCCACTGAACTCAGTGCCATTAATCCACTGATTAAAAATCTGCAGTGCCTCGTGATTAAGCCATTTACTGGCAAGCTACTTCATATGTCTGAACTGTTCGGTCAGTCTAGACTAAGAGCATTAGTCCAAGCCCATTTTCTGAATTTGCCAAACTCCACATACATTCATGGTACTGTATAATTAAGAACATTAATGAAATGTGCCAGAGCATACAGACGGCATTCAGCTAATGAATAGTTTATACTACGGGACTGTAAGTCAACACTTTTCAGAACAAGTCAGCACTTCTTCAAATAAATGAAGACTGCATAACAAATGTATTTTTTCCATTTATTCACAGTGCAGTTCAGCTGTACAGACTCTACATCTGCTAAAGTATTCTGAAATGTACAAGTAGCAAGTTTTAGCAACATAATGCGTCAACATAGGACTTTCTGCCCTTCTATTTTTGAGATATGGCAAAGAGGACTATGAGGCTTGCCAATTAGGGAAATTCTATTAAAACTGGCCTATAGTAGCAGCAAGCTCTACAAAAGAGACAGTGGAAAGCAGCTTCCAATTAGTTTTCAAAAGAACGCTAGGGCCTTGCATTCAAAATTTTTGATTATGATATGAAGTATAAGATACCTGAAACACACGCAGTTCCCTCACATTGAAACTAAATATTAAAACGTTAAGATCCCAGATCTGTTTCTGGAAAGGTGGCAGAGGACAGCAGCCCCTTAAGACTAACCTGTAGCTTGGTCAGCATTCCAGGACTCTCTGAAGGTGGGCCTGGAATCACCTCCGGCTCCTCCTCTACTTCCTCAAAGCGTGGAATACGCCGCTTCTTCACGCCGGAAGACTCCTTGGAGATCTCAGAGTCATCACCAAACACATCCTAACAGAACGGGAACAGAATGAGATTGATCATAAGCTATGATACAACCAGGCTACAAGAGGCGACTGACGACAACTAGAAACCATCACCTGAGTGCAACAATTTAGAAAATACTTTGGTCAGGCAGTCACAAGCGGCTACAATACAGAATTCCTAGGTTGTATTCTCAGCCCTGCTGTTTACCCACTGTGGGATCATGCACAAATTAAATCTGTCTCTCAGTCTCTTACCTGTACAATGATAAGTAATGGTCCATCTATATGGGCAGTGAAGGCGAGGGTAACTAATGTTTGCAAATCACTCAGATCCTTATGTGAAAGGCACTATCATTCTTTTGCATGGGTTAAGGAGTTCCTAGGTCCACAATTCTTCCCAGTAAGCCTGTGTTCTCTCACATACCTATCCACAGACAAACAGCTGATTTACCTGCACACTAAACTGTTTAACTAAATCGGTTTCCAAATCTCAAACTGATCAAAGAGTGTCTCTATATTTGTGCTGTTCAACACGCTAGCCACTAACGGCTATTTGGCTGGTTGAGTGTGGCTAATTTGCAGAATTGGTTGGACACTATGGCTCTACATGGAGACTGCACTGATTTAACTAAACTGATTCAGTTAAATGGGTGCCATTTGTGAGTGTAAACAAGCCCTTAATCTACCATACAGTAGATATACTGTCTTACAAGTGAATGTTATTTGAAAAGAAGATATACAAACCGGTTGTAAGCGTTAGTTGAAATCCCCTCTTCACTATTATGGTTCATATTCTACAAGGACACTTCCTCAGCCAGACAGGTACTTCTTGGAATACCTACAAGTTCAAGAGAAAGGACTTGCCCATAGTATAAAGTGTGTAGACCATTACGCTTTAGTTCCTGAAAATTCCCAAGCAGTGATCTACCCCATGAAATGGTACAAGGGAGAGAGGAGAAAGAAGGCCAGACAGAATGCTAAGAGACAGCTAACATGGAGTATTACCTAATGGTTTTGTCATTCCTCTGTCCACCACTACAATTCTGTATCCACGAGCATACGTAAAAGCAGGGCTAATATTTTCAAGGGAAAAGCCAGGAAGGAAAAGTTATCCTTGTTATATCACCTTGGGTAGCACTTCCAGCAAATCTCACGCTACAGCAGAGTTAGGACAGACCGGGGTCTGAATGCAGCACTTCCAAGAAAGTTAACTCCAGGAAGTGGAGCTGGTGATTCAAAAGATGACACGCCCCTCCTTCAGCCAGTGCCCCACCACAGTGGTTTGGATATGCTGTGCAATGGGAAGGGATGAATTTCTGATTCAATACAAAGTCGAGGACCTAGAACATTCGGGATCATTCAAAATTCCAGAATACTTTTCACTAGGGATGGGGCATTAGCCCTAGTGCCCAGTCCAAACCCTGGCTTGGTTATCCTAACCTACCTCTATAGAACTCCCCAAAGAATGCTAACAGAGTTGAACTCTCTTCCCTTGCCCTGCCCTATAACACTGTATGGCGTTGCTGTTAGATTCTAAGTAGCTTGCACATGATGTGAGAATGCACTCTCAGGGTGGGCAAAGCACTGTCTTAGAAACGGTTTGTAACTCTGACTGCAAGGAGCTTTGGGATCCATTTGCATCAGAAGTTTAAGGTCATCATAATTCAAAGTGTAGACTACAATCCATCCGCAGAACCATCTGATTTACGAGATGCCAAGTAGCTGCTATGCCTAGTTCAGCTATTCCAGTTTCTTCTGTCTCCCCAATACACCAGAGGTGAGAGACTTGAGGTCTGGCTAGGACAAAGTATGACAGCCGACTGGTTTTCAATCAGAACCAATCTGAGGACAGTTTGGTTAAAATGACTGTGTGAATATCAGTCTAATTCCTAATTAAAATGTGCCCAGAGCACAAAAAAAATCCACCGTGTAACAATAGTTGGTTCCATTGCTGATAGTTTCGGCAGAGCTGTCAATGTCTGAGGTCAAGTTGATACTGCATCACTTTATTGAAGATGCTCAACGCCGACACAAACGAGTCCTCCCATTGGTGTACTCAGTCTGCCTCCCTGAGAAGATGTAGCTACATCGGTGAGAGAAGCTCTCCAGCCAATTCATGCAGGATGTTAAGTTGCTACAACTACATCACTCAGCGGCATGTATTTTTCACACCCCAGAACAACAAAATACCAATAGAAGTCTGTCATGTAGACCAGGCACGTGCTATGGAAAACTGAAGTCCGTGGGAGGGGGAGGTCACTCCAGGCCAGGTTAAGACACATTGACAGGGAAGCTTACACTACTGCCACACAGGCTGTATCTGTTCTGGGGATAAACACCTGTTTTTATGCATGACTGTTTGACCAGCGAATGTAACTGGAACCTGGAAGAAGAAAGGTGAGTAGACCCTTCTCTACCATATGACAAAGCCTCAGCCACGTAGAGGAGACAAGTAACAGTTTTCAGACAGAAAACATTGAGAAGCGTAGGCAGTTCCCTCTCCTACTACAAAGCATGTTTCCACAGAAAAATGGAAAGGCACAGCTAAAAGCCCCGTAAAGGAATACACTAGGTAACTGATGTAATCAGGAACTGATGAATGCAAAGCTTCAAAAGAAATAAAATGCCATAAAATAGGAACCTCAGAAAAAGTGAGAGAACTTACTTTAGGACCAGGGAACAGCATGTAGAGTAGCCATTTTTAAACTCTGTATGCAAGTGATGAAAAAATTGTAATTCCAGGATCAAAAGCAAGATCTTCAAGAAAGCAGGAAGAAGTAGAAGACAGCTGTGGATGCATCAGACTTTCAACCACCCCAGTCAAATGGCAGATGGGAAAACCAGAAAATCCTTGCTGTGTTTCAGGACCTTGAATTTAGTTGGGGGAAAAGAAGTTGCATATTGTGGATTTCGGATGAGCTTCAATGCATGGACAGAAAGTGAAAATCCACAAGGTACCCTACCAACATTCATTCACTGACAGTTACGAAATCATCAGTTGAGATTTTTACGATGACATGTCTGAGCAGTGGAGTTACTATAAGCTGTGACCAGCTAATCCTAACCTGTTGTTAATGAAGACTCAACAATATGGCACAAAAGCAGCTAGGTATAAAGGAATATGAAAACCAGCAGAGAACCACAAATCCTGCCATTTTGCTGTTCTCTATTAACCCTACAAAAACTATTAAAGAAACAGGATGCTCAGGCTTCCATGTCAGGACATGGCCGGGGTAAGTGTTTTGGTACCTCATGGCACCTCAGAAGAGAATAAGAACTGAAATGTAAAGGCTCACACACTTCATTGGAGAGAAGGGTCTTTTCTCTTGAACTTGAAGCATTACAAGACATGCCTTTCTGGAAGAGGAGAATGTGGTAAAGTAACAGTACTACATTCATGGCCCTGAACAAACAATAAAATAAATCAGTCCTCAGCTTACCTTCAATTCTCTTTTTCGGTTTCGGTCACTGTTGGATTTTGAGTGCCTGGAGCTTCGTCCTTCCTCTACAGCTTCAAAGAGCTTGTCAACAAACCGTAGAGTGGAATCATCAAGAAAAGGCTTTAGATGGTCTGGCAAGGAAGAGAAATTTATGTTACTAGACAATGACCATTTTTGGAGACAGGAATAAGTGAACAAAAATTATATTTTGACCTCTCAGTTCACGATGGCCACTACCCTGACATCTAAAATACATGACTGATGGGCCGTGTGATTTCATGAAAGTCTCTTTTTAACGTAGTCTCTAACAAACTGCAGAAATTTGCGGCAATTCAACAATGGAGCTTTTTATCTGCATTTCCTGTATGGACAGTTTCTATAACCCGCTTTAAGTGTTTTGAAAGCATCTTAGACAATGCCACTTTCTGCCATGAGAGTACAAGAAAATCCACCCAAACTAAAGCTTCTATGACTACATGTTCACAGCATGTGAAGTAAGTCTATAAATGTTAAGTACATTCAAAATGACTAAGTAAAAGTGAGCAGAGAATCTCAGCACAAAGTGGATGTCACATCCATGAAAAGGAGGTTCCATATAATGGAACTGCTATCACAACCTCAACTAGTGATGAAGAAACAATTTGCCACATACAGCACCAATAAAGTCAGGCCGAGAAGTACCGAAGAATAAGAAAGAAATTCAAATCTGAGAAAAGGCCATTTCAAATGCCGTCAAGCTCTTCTAGTTCCATTTGTCAAGATCACATCTCCTCACAGCAACAAATACGCCCATTTACAGTAAAACTCCAGTGGTCCGACATCCAACGGTCCGGCACTCCTGATGGTCCAGCACCACCTGGAACCCGGAAGTGCTCCGGGCAGCCAGATGATTGGAGCTGCTCTGCCCCCGGCTTCCCCAATCAGCCACTGCTGAAACTGACCAGCGGCTGACTCAGGGAAGCCGGGGGCAGAACAGCTGGGGTGCTGTCGGGTTGGTCCCGCAGCACCAAGAGGCAGCGCTACAGAACCAACCCAGCAGCACCCCAGCTGCTTTGCCCCAGGCATCCCCAAGTCAGCTGCTGCTGAAACTGACCAGCGGCTGACTCCGGGAAGCCCAGAGCAGAGCAGGCTGTTCCCTGGGCTTCCTGGAGTCAGCCGCTGGTCAGTTTCAGCAGCGGCTGACTTGGGAAAATCTAAGGCAGAGCAGCTGGGGTGCTGCCAGGTTGGTCCCACAGCGCTGAGAGGCACATCCTCCCCACTCCACCCTAGACCCCTCAGAGCCCCTCCTTCCTATAGTCCGGCATATCTGATAATCCGGCACCCCCGGGTCCTAAAGGTGCCGGATTATTGGAAGTTTACTGTATTTCAAATACAAATTTGAAAGCATCAATTGGATGCTTTCTAGACCAAAACTACCTGTCTATATGGTAAGTTTCATTTTCCTGAGACACGCTTCTATTTCTTTCCCAGGTTTGTTATTTAGCTCTAAAGGATGGTAGGATACAGCTGATATGAAATACTTTGCAGAAAAACTGACTGTATTGCTAAACAGAAATCCTGAGAGATTTAATAACATGCTAAAAGTGACATTTTTTACACCTCCCTCTCCTTTTCTCAAGGAGCTTTAATACACCTAACACACAGCAATGAACATGGGTACTGTGAGGGTCATAATGAACAGCTGAGGACGTACCAGCTGCTTTCTTTTTGTCCATTCCCTTCCCAACGCAGTTCAAGGCTGCAGTGACCACAGTGGGTTCTGAGAAACCCAGGACTCGCTTCACTGTCTTCTCGATCCATGGCTTCAGCTCATCCAATTCCCGTTTAGAGAGCGACATCTTCACTGGCAGCCTGACTTCAGTTATTTAAAATTGTATCTGTAAGAGAAATGAAGAATGGAAAAGCATCAATTAAAGGAGAACTGAGTAGCCAAATCACTAATTGTATTTGTGAGCATTATATTTTTTAGTAAAAGTTTACAGCTGGTGGATGGTGCAAAGGATTTTTTTAAATATATTTCTTCTTAAAGACTCCAAGCAAGATTGGGGTGCCATTGTTCTAAGTGCTGAATAGAACAAGGAACAGCCCCTGCCCTTGAGACCCAACAATCTAATAAGACAAAACAAAGAAAATATTAGACTCTTAGTAGAGATAATCTCTGTATTAGTTTGCTAATTGGCTTTCTGTCATTGATTTCTTGTGTAACTTTGAGACAGGAACTGAACTGAGATCTCCTGAATCCTAGTCCAGTGCCATGCCTACATGGCCAACCCTCCTCTTGTGCAAAGCATCAAACTGATGCTCTTGGACATACTGCAGGACTGCCAGTCATGTTGGTACCAAGAGACTAGAGAAACAAGGTAAATGAGGCACATTCTGCTTAGTCACAGGATAGTAGCAAGTACTAGCCATACATTTTACAACTCCTCTAGACTTACTCCTACATAAATGCCCCTAGGATGGGGGGAGGAGTTCCATCTTCATGGTGCATTCGATCTTCGGCTTGTGCCAATAAGTCAGCCAATCGGTGACAACCTGATGTGAACTCTTGTCCATCAGTAACTTGAGACCTACCCAAGTTTATTTCACATACACCACTGCAACCTATAAATCAGAATTGTTTACACAATAGTGTCAGAGGATCAAGTCCATCTTTAGCAATGTGGATGAAATATATTTCTGATAAACACTGAAAATCCTAATACGCACTCCTCAGTGCTTAGTATCTTGCATCTGAAGTTCTCAAATTAGGTTACAGACACTCACTCTCACAACATCTACACAAGGTAACCACATGAAGCCTTCTATAACAGAGGAAATTAAGGCTGACTTGTCTCCTTGCTATGTGACCGTAGCCATCTTCCAGATCTCCTGACTCTCAGCTTCACCAGACTTCAGACTTTAAGGCCCAAAGTAATCAACATCTAGTGTGATCACCTGCACATACTGGTCACAAAACCTCATCTACTCACTCCTGCAAAAGACACACAACCAAGTCCTCAACTCTTGATAAATCAAGACTTCAAGCTAGAAAAAATCCTTCATGTACTTTAGTTCAAAGAGGCGAGTGACATGGTGCAGAGAGAATAGTGATAGAGATGCAGCCGTGTTAGTCTGGTCTAGCTGAAACAAAAGACAGGACTATGCAGCACTTTAAAGAAGATGGTTTATTAGGTGACCAAATTGTATCACTTTGGTATATATGGTCATGCCAATTTTCTTCCACATATTGATCTGATGAAGTGGGTCTGGCCCATGAAAGCTCATCACCTAATAAACCATCTTGTTAGTCATTAAAGTGCTGCATAGTCCTGTCTTTTGTATGGTGCAGAGAAACACTGAAAAACCCCCCAGGATCTCCACCCATCTAAGCAAGAGGAAAATTCCTTCCCAAACAGGATTATTTCAGACTTAAAAAAAAAATTATCCTGCCTCACCAGGCATAAGCATGTATACATGCATCACTGTACACGCTATGGCCCACCTCCTAGAAGAATTAATATGCTGAAAGCTAAGAACCTGATGCAAGTCCACGTATCTACTTG